GTCCGACCTTGCGACAGTTATAACAAGATCCCTGAAACTTGCGCTGCTGATGCGCTCTCTGATCCTGCTGGGGTCCCCTTTTATAAGGACCCTGATGCTGCTGCTGAGGTCCAGAAAAAGATCTCTTGTTCTTGCCCTTGTCCCCACTCTGTTCGGTCTTGGCCTTCCCTTCCTTGTCTTTCTGGAACATAGAAGTCTCAGTCTCCTGAGAAGTGGCAGCCTCAGCTACCTCCCTGACTGAATAAAATCTCCTCGACACGAGGTACCGTCGGAGATTAGGGCGAAGCCCAGCCAAAGACATCTGAGCCTGACGCTCTCCTGTCTGCCACATACCCGTGAAATGCAGCAACTCCATGAACCTGCTCTCAAAATCTGCCACGGTCATGTCCCCCTGAGTCAAACGGGATAACTCGAGCTCCTTCCCTGTCCGTGCTGCAGAGGAAATGTACTGACCATCGAAGAAGTAGATAAAGTCCTCCCATGTGAGAGTTATCCTCTGATCTGGAGTAAACTGGAGTCGATACCATCTCCCGGCATCTCCCTTCAGGCTGTAAGATGCCAATCTCTGCTTCTGAACTGAATCCACACTGAGTATGTCGAGAATGTTGCTCACATCCTCCTTCCACTTATGGGCTGCCAGAGGGTATGGTGATCCCTGAAACTCGGGTGCTCTCATCTTCTAGTACCTCTCAACCATACGGAGCCAGGCCTCCTGCTCGGTGGCTCTGTCTGGGACTGCTAAAGGAATAACTGCAGGCGTGGCCTCTGGGGGTCTCTCTCTAACAGGAACGGCAGGTATCCCCTGCTGCTGAGCTACCGGAGGGGGTGGTGTTCGTGGTGCTATATGGGTCGTCACCAACTCCTCAATAGCTGTCATCCGGGCAATGAGAGGTCTCTGATGGAGTCTGCTGTGACTCTGCCTGGGTAGCTCTCCTGGTACGAGGTCTACCACGTCCTGCCATCTCTCTGATCATAAGAAATAAAAGTTTATGAGTCAAAATAGACTTCTATAAATAGCGTATCACAATACAATCTTCACAACATATAGTATTCATAGAAAATACTTTAAATTTATACAAAAATAGTTGTCATAAAAAAAATTTTCTCAAATTTTGAGATATACGCATATATCGTCCTCACTCATACTAGGAAATCCTTACGGACTCTATACATGAATCCTAGGAAACTCTATCCTAGCTCACTCTAGTAGAGTCAATGACAGGTGTAGGTACAAAAGCAAGTAAAAGATATTGCAAGAAACAACTGATGAAATAATAGTGATCACATTAATGTCTCATCATCCAATATACAGAGAAATATAGTTAAAGTCTGAGTAGATAAACTGGAATACTCAACGAGTCTCAAGTACAAATATCTGAGTAAAAGAAATAAGGCATACAACCTTTACAACATCTAGAAAATAGTCCTCAAATGTGAAATACATCTACAATGGAGCTCCAAAATAAATCCTAGCTAACATAGATAGTTGAACACTAAAGTGTGTCGCCATCAACCTGCGACTCTCCGGGCTCCTGGCTCGTTACCTGAAAGGGGGAGGGACAACGAGCGTCAAAGCGCTAGCGAGCAACATCACAACCAACCCCAAGGGAACAGGGCTCGTTGTATAAGAAAATACAATTATTACATAATAGATCTAAAATCATTGATCTTACTAAAGAGGATTTTAGTATTTAGAAATTTACAACACGAGCATAGGTACGTCGAGCGAAATAATCCAAACAAGGAAACCCTCATGTATATACCTTATATCTCAAATTGTAAATCCCTAAATGCCAAACCCAAAGTCTAATACATAAATGAATAAATTAAAAAGAATACAAAACACATCTCTACTTCCAAACATAGTGTCATGTCAAACTCACATGAGTGACATGTCAGAAAACGATTAAGTATCCAAAACATAGACTATATAAATTAAGCGTCCAACCCATAGACAGTCATATGCAGGGTTAAGAAGATATGTCCGATACAGGAACTGAATACTGTGGTTTCCAAACACATGGAATAAGTGACAAATGTCCAACACGAGGACTGAAATGGATTATAGTCCAACACGAGGACTTCTATGGATTATAGTCCAACACGAGGACTGTGCAACTGAAAAGTGTATGCAGACAGATATACAAAATCTAAACTTGCACGCATCTCGGTGTACATATCTAAACTTGTGTTAAAGTCACCCCACATGTACAGATAAATCATTAACATGATAAGCTAGGGTCAGGTTATCGAGGCAACCCCGAAAGACAACTCAAACAGATCAAGAATCTGTAAAACAGCTCATCAGTCGACTGATGTGTCGACTGATGACGTCAGTCGACTCATATGTCGACTGATGAAGCTCAGGCAGCATAGCCTCAGCTCACCAGTCGACTGACCAGTCGACCGAGAGGCTGAGAAAACACAACCAGCCCGTCAGTCGACTGATCAGTCGACTGATGACTGGAAATTTGCCCGTCGGTCGACTGATCAGTCGACCGATGGCCTGCAGAAACTCTGCTCAGGTTGTTCTTCACCCAAAAACTGATTTAAACACATCCCCATCAATCCCAAACATGTATCATACGAATATTTGCATGTATGAACTAACTGAAACATAACTTTCATGTACAAATACATAAGCACAACTCTAAACATGTGTATTTAGGTTTTAAAAATCCTTTTTAAAACAAAACCCATGTTAAATCTCTTATAAAGCATTTGAGATCTGGATTTTAAATTCACAAAACATTAGTAGGTTGTTTACCAAACTGAAAATACATATCTTCATGTTATAAGCAATAAAAATCCAATCTTTGTACAAAAATACATTTTTGGCCAAAGAAATCTCAATAGAACCATGTGAAAACGTTTAAAAAGAATGGGACAAGGTTGGGCGAGATGTTACTCGCCTCTGAGGTGATGAAGAGCTCCTGGATCTGAGGGGGAGTGATTCCTTTCGCTGCAAATTGAAAATCCCGCCGTCTTCCCCAAATCACCAAGAACAAGGCTAGGGTTTGAGAGAGGAGAGAGGGGGCTAGGGTTTTCTCTGGTCTGAAGTTCTAAGGGGTGAGTTCGGGTGAGAAAGGATATATACCAACAGTTAAACCCGACCCAAACCCGAACCAAAACAAAACAGACCCGAAACCTGTAAAAACTGGAAATCAGCGTATCGGTCGACTGATGTGTCGACCGATACCATCAGTCGACTGATGTGTCGACTGATCTGGAAAATTCCAGTTTTGTGCATGTTTTGCTAATTTTGCAAAATCCAACGCACAAAGCTCTACACCCATACTCTCATATCATTTCAAATAACTTGTTATCATGCACATCAATGACATTAAGCTATTTATCATAAAAGAATTATTTATTTACTAATAATTCATATCTATTTATTGTAGAAATTTTCGGGGTTTTACAAATATAACCAAAACCAATCAAACACACACACACAAATGTATTTAAAAAAAAGAAAAAAAAAGAATACTTTGAAGAATCGCCAACCTCGGGAGGCGAAGCGGCGAGCTGCTCCATATAAGCTGTCCTCTCCTCCTACCTCGCCGGCGGCAACCTCAGGACGCTCAAAACGATATCCACACAGAGATTCCCAAGCGTCGCCATGTCCACGTCCTTCTTAGGGTTTGGAGAGCCATGGGGATTTGGAAAGAAATGGAGGGAGGGAAAGCTGGGGTTTTGTCGCTTGTTTTGGTAAAGAAATGGAAGGAGGGTTTGGCGTCGGTGGAGGAGGCGGAGGCGGAGGGTTTGGCTTCGGTGGAGGAGGCGGAGGTTTGGCGTTGGTGGAGGAGGCGACGAAGGAGGGTTTGGCGTCGGAGGAGGAGACGGCGGAGGAGGGTCTCAGCTGGAAGAAGTGGTGACGGGGAGAGAGGGCAAGATTACCCCATGTGTTGTTCCAGCAAAAGAATTGGGACAATTTTGAGGGGGTATTGAGGAATGTATATATAGTTGGAGTAATTTTAGGGGAAGTGAGGTATTTGTCCCCAAATTATCCCAACAAACCAATAACACCATAATGTTTACCACAGTTCCAATTACACCAATGAATAACACCAAAAAGTGGTGTTCCAAAAATTATCCCATTATCCCAATTTTTACACCAATGAATAACCCCCCTTAGGGTTTTAAATGGCGGATTCTTCTTTCCTTGTGGGGCAACGGTATAAGATATTAGGTTAAACGGGTATTTACATATTAGTCCCAAAAATCTGCAAATAAGGAGGCTTTGGTCTGGGTGCATGAATTACCCGATTCCTATTCAGACTAGATGCTTCTTTATTTGAGATTATTAGATTTTCTGTAAATATATCCGTATTATAGGGGAAAATTAGGTGTCCTTTTATCCAAGACTGGTTATCAAAATAAATAAATAAAATAGTCATGGTCGCTTGCTCTGCTTGATTTTAGTTGCAACATTGAGCATGTTCGTCCGTGGCAACCAGAAATACGAACACGATACCTAGTTGATGTAGGGCATATAACAAGCAAATCCATGGAGAAGTTTGACCTTCGTGAGTCAAATGTTGATGTGGATGAATTATTTACTTGCGTGCCAAAAAAATAAACATCATATTATCTCCTTGTTTGAAAGGTGAATTCTAATATACTATATATGAAAATTGTCTATCCCTATGAGATGAAGTAATTTAAATTGACAAACTCCTGAAATCACATCAAAATGATTGATTTTTTGGCAAAATTTTAAATATAATCAGCATTTAGTTTATTTTTAATGATAAAGTTGGAGTCGATTTAGATTAGGAGACAAACTTAATTTTGATTGATGTTGGATTGATTTGTTTCCTATATTTTGGTGAGTTTTGTTGGGATAAGATTTCATACTTTCTATTTCTTTGTAATTCTTATCTTATTAGGAGCCTAGTTTAATTTTCTATTTAAGAAGAGACATATTCATATATCCTCAAAATTATTAGGTAACCTTTGGTCAATAAAACTCCTCTTTTTTTTAGTTTCTTCGTTGATTTAAAAGTTCATAGATTTCTAAGGTAGCCTTTTAATTGTCCTTGCTGCTTGGTTTCTCTTGCCGTATTGGAATTTTGTTGATTATGACAGCAAGTGACACGAATATAGTTCTCCCCTCTGAAATCATATATGATATCCTTTTGAAGCTTCATGTCAAGACTCTCGCCAGATTCCGCTGCGTCTGCAAATCATGGCAAGCTCTGATCTCCGACCCCATCTTCATCGAATCCCATCATCGTCGATCCAAGCAAAACCCTCTCGTCCTACTTTCCCGCCGCTGTCATCCCGGCGGAGGCCTCCGCTGGTTCTCCACGCACGGCGATGCAAAAGAATTCGTGTCCATGAATCCTCAACCTAATAATCGCCTTGTCACGTTGCCTACTTATCTCGATCTCGTCTGCGTGTATGACTCTAGCAGAATCTACCTTTGCAATCCCTCAATTGAACAACTAGTCTGTCTGCCCGTAGAATCTCCAGTATACAAATCATCCTTCCATCAGCATCATGTTGGGCTGGGGTACATCTCTTCCATAAAAAAGCACAAACTTCTTCGCATAATTAGCCCCGACAGAGACAGTGCTGAACATGGTATGGACCGTCACTGTGAGGTCTTCACAGTGGGCGCCAAAAACAGTCGTTGGGGAACAGTAGCGAACCCTCCATATAAAATCGTCGCCCATGCAGCTTGTGTCGATGGAGTCATTTACATGCTACCACATTATCTCGGGCTCCAGCCTTTTATTCCCAGAGTATGTTGCTTTGATCTTGAGAAAGAAAAGTGGTCTGAGCTTCAGACTCCATGTCAAATCCATCCTGATAATATCGTACACATATGCTTCGTGAGGAAGGTTGTAGAAGAGTGCCTATGTTTGGTCGACTTTGGTTTGAGTGCCTTACACCGAATGGACGTGTGGTTTCTATCAGACAGAAACAAGAGCTCGTGGGTGAGAGAGTGCCACATTGACATTTCCTCGCTGAGTAGCGTTCGACATGTGATAATGTCGGTTTTTCCTCTTGCCGTAGACGAAGATGGGAGAATTCTTTTAAGGAACTTAAGTCCTCGTGGAAACGAGTTGTGGTACTATGACCCAAAGGCAAAAAAATTTCAAGAGTTTGTACCCTGTAAGAAGCTAGGAGAATTGTTTTTCGAAAGCTTCTATGTCGAAAGTTTCATGTCCTTGATAGATAGCGAGACAGTGGCCTAACTAGGGGCGCCGCGTTATAGTAGCGAGGGATGTACTAAGATTTTTAGACTTTTCCATGATCTCGTTTGATCTCTATTCATTTTGAACCGCATGTGCGTTCTTTAGCCTTGAATTGCATACGTTCTTTAGCCTTGAATTTCTTTTGCCTAGTTAGAAGAGCTTGTTATTGATTTCGCATTGTCTCATCTATGTACTTATATGAAGATTTTCTTTCACATGTATGCGCTTGTGATCACGTGGATAATAATTTTGTTGGGTTAGGTGTAAGGGTAGCAATTTATGACCTGATCCTCTCACCTAGCCCGACCCGACCTGTTATAAATGGGTAAGAGTCATTTCATATGGGTCGGATCATCATCGGGTTGACCCAAAGAGTATATTTATTAATCGGATCATAAACGGGTAGTCAACCTATCGATCAGTTTAACTTTAACACATTTATCATTCAACCCTTAACATTTAAAATTTGTAAAAACACACTCATAAAATGTCAATACTTTTTTTTGGTCAATGAACTAAAATTTTATTCATTTCCCAATTTTGAAACAATGTGTAGAACAGCAAGGAACCAGAAAGCCTGGAAACCAAAAGAAAATTTACAATTTTTCAAGTAACTCTTTTATATGCACATATATACTTTCATTTTGAACTTTTGAAAAAACTAAAAGTTTGATATCTGTAAAAGTCTGAGCAGGTTGCCTTTCTTTTGCTTGAAAGATTCTAAGGTTCCTCTCCTTCCAAATCATATAAACTGTAGTGGAGAGACACATCCTCTTCAATTTCACCATAGAGCCCTTGCCTTTCAAATTAGAGGAGTACCAGTTCAAAATCAGACTCCAAACACAGGTCCTCCACCTATATCTCAGTCAGTCCATCACCAAGTTCCAGACTTTAGCTGAGTATTGATGCTCAAAGAAAACATGGTTCCTAGTCTCCAATTGGTGACCATTACACTGGACACAATGAGACTAATTTGTGCTCAGAATACCCATTCGACACTATCTATCCTTGGTGAGAAGTCTTGAATGACAAGCTAGCCACAATATAAAAGAATGTTTAGGATATAGCAGTTTGTGCCCAGGAAGCTACGTTGGCAGGCTGGACAAGAGTCCTATACACCGCAGATAATTGAAGATTGCCATCAGTGTAGCATTCAGCTATAGCATTCTTTATATTATCAGCACTTCCAAACTTGTGCAGCAACATATCTCTCACCTTAAGGAGTTGTCTCCACATCCATGAATCTTTTGACTTGGGTTGAACAGCCCAGACATTTTGATTCTGTAAATAGTTCACATGTATCCACTTGATCCATAGTAGATCCTTTTTAAGATGAACCATCCATAGGAGCTTTGTAGCAGCAACATAGTTCCAGAACTTTGCTGAAAAAATCCCCAGACCCCCTTGCTTCTTCCCTTGACAAACAGATTCCCAATTCACCAAGTGAAATTTATGACCCCATAGAAATTCAGAACACAATCTGTCAATTTTCTCCAAAACTTTTATTGGCAAAATGTAATTGCTAATCCGATATGTTTGAATGCCCAGAATAACAAATTTAATCAATTCAAGTCTGCCAGCATAAGACAAACATCTTTTTTGTTGCCAGGATTGAAATTGATTGCTGATTTTTCCAATAAGGCTAGAGCAATCTATATAAGAGAGCCTTTTTGCATTAAGTGGAAGCCCTAGATATTTCATAGGTAGTACTCCCTTAGGGAACTTTAGAAAGTTGCATATCTGAGCTTTGAGGCTGTTATTAACTCCACTCAGGTAAACAGAACACTTGCTTGAATTAACTTCCAAACCTGAAACTTGACCAAACTCTTGAAGACATACTAAAATTTTCTCAATAGAGTTCATGTCAGCTTTGCATAACAGTAGCAAGTCATCGACAAAAATCAGGCGACTAATCTTCAGTCTAGAACATTTAGGGTGAATTTTGAAAGAGGAATCATCCTTTAGAGAACTAAGCTTTCTAGATAGGAATTCCATCCCAATGACAAAAAGATAGGGGAGAGGGGATCCCCTTGTCTTAAGCCTCTAGCACCATAAAAATAGCCATGCAGTCCCCCATTAAGTGCAAGAGAAAATTTTGGGGTAGAGATACATTCCATGATCCAGCAAATAATATTATTAGGAAAGCCCAATCCAATCAACATGCTCCTTATGAAATCCCAACTAATAGTATCAAAGGCCTTCCTCAGATCAACATTCAAAATAGCTCTTGGGGAGTTGTTTTTCCTTCCATGTGTTTAATAAGATCATGAGCAAGCAAGAAATTGCTGGATATAAGCCTCCCTTTTACAAAAGCACACTGAGCATCATTAACTAAATAGCCTATAATTTTTTCCACCCTACTAGCAATAACTTTTGAGATGATTTTATAGATGACATTACAATAGGAAATAGGTCGATAATCAGCAGCTGAGGTAGGGTTAAGGACCTTGGGCACAAGAGTAATAGAAGTAGTATTAAGGGAACCCAAAAGAATACCTGAGTGAAAGAATTCCTCAACTGCTAGAAAAAGATCCTCACTGATGATACTCCATGCAGCTTTAAAGAAGTAAGCATTAAAACCATCAGGCCCAGGAGCCTTGCTATCAGGCATTAAAAATAATGCTTGCTTAATCTCTTCCCTCGAAATAGGAGAACTCAGTTCATGTGCTGAGCAGAGGTTAAAATAGGACCATTAGAGATTACACAAGGATCAGTAGTTGAGTTGGCCTTAGCATATCCCAGTAACTTCTTATAGCATTCAATGAGCTCTGATGTAATTACAGGAAATTCTGTAATTCTAGAGCCATCTGCAGTGTATATATAGACAAAATTCTATTCTGGTGCCTCTTTGATTTCATAACTGAATGAAAGAATTGAGAGCCCTGTGACGCCCCTGGGTTCACACAAGGCTGCAGTCCGAGGTAAAACAAGAAATGTCAAACCTGCCATGTACCACACCGTGCAATAACATGTTTCACCATCACAATTTCTATCTCTCTAGTGGAATCAACAACAGGTGTAGTACAAAGCAAGTAAAAGGTTACACAAGAATCAACTGATGAAATGATAGAGATCAAATTAATATTTCACCATCTAATATATTGGAATACAAATAAATGTCTGAAATAAATAAACTGGAGTTCTCAACAAGTCTCAAATACAAAATGTCTGACAAGAGAAAATAAGGCACACAGCCTTTACAACTTCTAGAATAAAACTCTCAAATATCTAAACAGAAGTCTACAGTGGAGCTCAAAAGAAAATATAACTAAATAGATGGCTGACGCTAAAGTGTATCGCCGTCAACCTGCGACTCTCCGGGCTCCTGGCTCGTTACCTGAAAGGGGGAGGGACAACGAGCGTCAAAGCGCTAGCGAGCAACATCACAACCAACCCCAAGGGATAGGGCTCGTTGTACATGAAAATACAGTTAATACATAATAATATAAATCATTTACACAAACATTAATGGGTTTTAGTACTTAGGGAAATACAACACGAGCATAGGTACGTCGAGCGAGTGATAGTTTTAGTGGACCTGTCATCCTATTGAAGCGGATTGACAAGTTGATGGACGTGATAGTTTTGGTAGATTCTGTGGTTGACAGAGGTATTTTATTAAACATAACAACTCAGAAAATTTATTACTCATAATCCAATGAACTACAAATAAATCAACCCCCAGTCTTGAATAAGTGCATGGGGAAAAGGGGTAGACATGGCACGTCGCCTAGTGGGCCACAATCTAACGAGCTTGACTATCAGAGGTAGTTGTTAACGTGATAGTTATTGGAGACCCGTCATCCTACCGAAGAGGATTAGCTTCAGTGGTCGTAGTATCTTCTGGTTCTGACTGGGAAGAATGAGCTTGGTCCGATTGTTCAGGAGAAGATTGGGCTTGGTCCGATTGCTCAGGCTGATCCTGCTTACTTTGTTCTTCAGCTTTGATCCTGACAATAATCTTCTGAGCCCGTTCGCCTTGAGAGATCAGTTGTCTCCAAGAACGACATTCTGCAACCCCTAACTTTAATGGTTTATAGTCCAACACAAGGACTGCGTATAAGAAAGTATGCATGTCTTATTCCCGTACATACCCTACTGTACTAGCTTAAACTTGTGTTCGAAAGGTCATCTCACATGTGTAGGTGAAATCACATTCACTGCAAATAAATACTCAATAAACTAGGCACTCCTCAAGTCCAAACGTGGTAAGCAGATGATTTAAACAGAAGCACGAACGAAACAGAAAGAAAATACTGCGATGAGTCGACTCGTGCTCAAATATGAGTCAACTCAGCAGAACACAAATAATAGCAGGAAAGGGCTTCATGAGTCGACTCATGACAGTCATGGGTCGACTCATGACTTATGGGTCGACTCGTATACTGACGAGTCGACTCAGCAGAAGCAAAAAGGAAACACAACTAAATTAACTTCTAAATTAATTTAGTTAAAATATTTGTTTAGCATTTGATTTGACAAATTGGGGGGTTATTGGTTGGGACAAATTGGGGCCAAGTAGGAAAAGTGTTCCAATGGAACAATTTTACCCCTTTGGGATATTTTGAGTGGGGTAAAGTGGGATAAAGTGGGATATTGGGATAATTTTAGTATTTGATTTGACAATTCATGTGGGATAATTGATGACGTGGCACCTTATTGAAATATAATTTTATCTATTAATTACTTCTAAATTAACTTATCTAATTGGTTTAGTGTATTATTTAGTATATTATTATAATATAAATATTATTTTACTTTATATTAAAATATAATATATTATACTATACTTACAAATTACTATTATTAATTATTATATTATATTGTATTATATTATATTAGCATGCTATACTATATATAATAATTAATATAATATAATATCAATATATTTAATATAATATTTTAATAATATAATATTTAATATAATGCATTACAAAATATAATATGTTATACAATAATTACTAATTAACATTATATTAGTATGCTACATTATATAATAATTAATATAATATATGAATAATATATATAATATAATACTTTAATAATATATTATTTAATTTAATATATTATAATATAGTATCATAG